CCGGCTCGGCAGCCGCCCCGCCGCTCAGCCCGCAGCGCCAGCGCGGCGAACCCGCCCGGCGGCCGGCATGGACGGGGCGGCTCGGAGGGGGGCCCCGGCCGCCGCGCTGCTGCTGCTGCTGCTCCTGGCGGCGGCGGGCTGGCTGGGGCCGGGCGCCGGAGCCTCGCCGACCCCTCCCGGGGCCGCCCCCCAGGACACTTGCACGTCGTGCGGCTTCCGGCGGCCGGCCGAGGAGCCCGACGCCGTGGACGGCGAGTTCCTGGAGGCCGTCAAGAGGCACATCCTGAACCGGCTGCAGATGCGCGACCGGCCGAACATCACGCACGCCGTCCCCAAGGCGGCCATGGTCACGGCGCTGCGCAAGCTGCACGCGGGCAAGGTGCGCGACGACGGCCGCGTCGAGATCCCGAGCCTGGACGGGCAGGCGAGCCCGGGGCCGCCCGCGCACGAGCAGAGCTCCGAGATCATCAGCTTCGCCGAGACAGGTGGGCCGCCCTCCTCACCGCTCCGCTCCTCTCCCAGCCCCTCGCCCCTCGCCCGCCCTCCGTCTGCACGCCCGGCCGCCCTGCCGGCGGCCCTTCGGCCTTGCGCGAAGCCACGGCTCGCCTCTTGCTTCCAGGCCCGTGTGCTCCATCGCATCCCGTTGGCTCGGGATCCCCGGCCAGCCACCTGTCTTTTCTCTCCTCTGCACTCTCCTGCCGTGCCCAGCTTCTTCTGTCCTGCCGGGCCATCCTCCTCTGTGTTCTTACAACCTGCCTGCCTGCCTTCCTTTCTTTGCCCTGCAGGCCCAATTTGTGTATGCAATGCTTCATTCTGAGCGTCAGGTCTCTGTCAATCTCTTGTAGCTCCATTCATTCTTCCACACCCATCCAGGCCAGTGGCCCCATTTAGTCATCTGCAGCACTTGCTGTGGATAACCTGTTCCTTCACCTAGCCAATATTGCACATCTGCGATGGCATCACCATGCATCCATTAGGCTCTGAGTTTTGGATTGCTTTGGGCAGCCTCTCCTTCTCCAGAGCATACATTTAGGTATGCTTTCCGGACACTTCCACTATACTCATTGGTGCAGAAGTCCTTACCACTGCCCATTCATTCTGCTTCAAGCCACTGTCTAGTCCCTCCTAACTCACCTTCTTATCTGTTGACACCCTCCATTTTCCAATGTCATGCAAGCTATCTATCCTCCCATCCCCAAACTTGTGTGACCTCTTCTTTCCATCAGGTGATCCATTTCACACCTTCTGCATCTTCTGCCCCACCCACCTCTGCGCCCATCTCCTCCTATGTCCCTCAGCTACTAGCACCTGCCTGTCCTACTGGTGACCTATTTTATTAACCTATTCTATCAACATCCAACGTATCACTTCACTCCTTTCTGCTCCCTCATCCCATTTGAGCTTACGTATAGTCTTACTCTTCCTTCATGTTGTTCAGATCCTCTGCAGCATGTGCTCCATGGTCTATAAACTGCTTTGCTGACATACCTTCTCCATGTAAGCATGAACCTCTGTTCAGGATTTGGTAATCTCCTCTGTCCATCCATCCATCTCTAATGCCTCCATGCATCCTTCCACTCTTAAACTACAGAAGAACCATCACGTAGTTCTGTATACTTTTGCTTATTCCATGTTCATCCTCCCATTCATCTACATCCCAGTAGCAGAGAATCAATGCAGAATGTATCCCTATATTTCTTGCCAAGACAGTATACTGCAGTCTATTGCACATTAGCTCCCTCTTGTATTCATTCATTTTTTTACCACAATCACTCAGGATAATGTATGACCTGTAAGCAATTTCCCTTCTCATGGCTCATGGCAATATCTGTCCATCTCCATCTGCATCTTTCAGTTGCACCATCCATCCCACTATCTTCCATCCTGTGTCCCTCTGTACTTGCATGACAGTCAACTGTTCTTTATAGCACCATAGTCAACCATCCATCCCAGGTTTAATTTATCTAGCTGCTGACAACGCCCTTTCATCATTTTCAGACTCTATTTTTCCACCTGTTCATTTCAAATATTATCAGTGCCTGCCTTCCACCTTGCAGGATATCCAGAGTATCTTTTCATCCACTGGTCAGAACCACTCAAGTGAGATTTTCTTAGTACCGCATCTATCCCTCCCTCCTTTCTTTCATGTTTTGTGCTTGTACTTCTAGAATTGATTACCATAGAAGTCCCAGTTCATCTGCCAGAATAATTCATGTTCTTTTTTTTGTCTCCCCCTAAATCCTTCGCCAAGGACTACAACAGGTAGAGGTGTTCAAGCAGTGTTCCAGGTGAACCTGAGGGTTCCTTGGAAGCTGATTGTGGATTGGTCAGTCATGGTGGGGAGCCTTTCCTTCCCTGCCCTATTTAGCCAAGTTTGCATGTGCTCCTAAGAGACCGGCCATATAGAGCAACGATACAGCCTAAGCGTGTGTGACCAGGACAAGTGCAGTGTGCGCACGTGATCCATGGCAGATGTCCAGGGATTCTTTGGCCGACCTGGTGACAGAAAAACAGTGGAAAGTGTGCAAGCCATTGCAGTAGTGGCACATCTGGAGAAAGAAGATAGGTAGCTAGAGAAGTGGAAGTTGGAATCAGTCATTTAGTTCCCTCCCCTCTTTTTCTACATTGTACTTCTTATACTTCGACTGTATCTGCTTGTTTATCACTTACTGACTATATTTACGAGTTTCCATTTTGCACAGAAGTTTAGAGATAACCTTTGGACACATATAGGGCATAGAAGACTAGGCGGTATGGTGCTGATGCATGCACATACAACTATACATATATCATATATATATGTGTCCATATATTTATTGACTCTCAGCCTTAGTCCTAGAAAGTATAGGTTAAGAGCATTGCTCATCTACTAATAACAAAGTGCCACAGATTGTATATAAATAAGTTGGTGATTAAATGGTAAGAGCTGGGCCTGGACAAGAAGGATGTATGCTTTCTGGTTAACAGTATCAGCACTGAAGTTTCTGCTACTAGAATATAGAATGCAGTGGAAATGAATGAAATGAATCGGGAATCTTCTCATCCTGAACTCATTTTACTTAGAAATCAATCCCACTGAGTTCAGAGGGACTCAGTCCCAGATAAATAGATGCTGGACTGCAAGCCTGCGTCAAGATACATTAAGAGATGTCAGTGGCAGCTTCTCCCATGTATTGCTCATAACATAAGTATATAAAGTAAGAACTAAAAGGTAGCAGCTGGGTATTACAGCTTTTAATGTTCCATGAAAAAATGGGTACAATCTAGTCTTGCTTAACTCACTGAAATAATCAGTAGGACTTATAAGTAATTATTGCTCATACCCATTGGTATCCATGGTGAAACAAAGCACCTGTTTTCTATCTTTAAGAGTTGTGTGGGGCAGGGGATTTCTGTAGACATGGCCTGTCATGCAAAATTCCCTCTTTCACACAATCATAAAAGGTGTTCTCTTTTGTATCACTTCAGGATACAGGTAGGATAGGGGCTTGCCAAATTGAAAGCAAAAGTCCAGCAACTAGAAATCTAGCCTGTCAGGAAGATGGGTAAGCCAGAGCCCCTTTCCTGGAATCTAGTTTTGCACATTCATGGAATATAAAAGTGTGGAGGAGCATGCCTCAATCTGCATTCTGAAACGATACCGCCCAGACACAGGTTTACAAGCCCCGTAAGAACTAGACCTCAGTTAAGCGAGCTAGTCAATTAGTGCCTGCGTTTCCCAAGGAACATGGGGCTTCTGGGTGAGATTACAGTACATCTAAATTGTAACCAAATCCTTTCTTCGCGAAACATTCCCTGATTGTTAACTATCTGTGCTTTCTGGGAAAATTATACATGAAGGCTGCCTTGGCCAGGCCAACACTTTAAAAAACTAATTAGCACTTGTCCAGGTGTTCACAGGGTTCCTTTCATGGCTCTCAGTCTCTCTGACCTTAATTGCTTGTATACTGATTTCTAAGGATCTGCATTTTTTTCCACCTATAGCCTGATTAGTTTCTCTCTGGGAAATCACTTTGTAATGGGGCTCTTTCTACTGATTCAGCCATGGAACTCAGTCAGCAATTTGTACTGTATAGTATCTTCCCACCCCCAGTCCTGTTTTGATCATTTACATATGTTGTTTTTATCCATTTAATAAGCTGATGCAGTTATTTCTTTTGAAAATAAAATGACAATACTTCTTCTGAACTTAATGGACTTTCCCCACCCAAATTCTTCTCTCCTAGATGATCTGACATCCTCTAGAATGCGTCTCTATTTCTTCATTTCCAATGAAGGGAACCAGAATTTGTTTGTGGCTCAAGCCAGTCTGTGGCTTTACTTGAAGCTGCTTCCGTATGTCTTGGAGAAAGGCAGCCGACGAAAAGTAAGAGTCAAAGTGTATTTCCAAGACCCGGACACTAGCAACAAGTGGAATGTGGTTGAAAAGAAAGTTGATCTCAAAAGAAGTGGTTGGCACACATTTCCCATGACAGAAGCAATCCAGGCTCTGTTTGAGAGAGGGGAAAGAAGGCTGAACTTGGATGTTCAGTGCGAAGGCTGTGAAGAGTATTCAGTGCTGCCAATTTACGTGGACCCTGGGGATGAGTCTCACCGGCCCTTTTTGGTGGTGCAGGCCCGGTTGGCTGACAACAAGCACAGGATCCGGAAAAGAGGCCTGGAGTGTGATGGCAGGACCAATTTATGTTGCAGGCAACAGTTTTACATTGACTTTAGACTCATTGGGTGGAACGACTGGATCATAGCGCCATTGGGTTACTATGGGAATTACTGTGAAGGGAGCTGCCCGGCCTATTTGGCTGGCGTCCCGGGCTCAGCTTCCTCTTTTCACACTGCAGTCGTGAATCAGTACCGCATGCGAGGGCTGAACCCAGGCACTGTGAACTCCTGCTGCATCCCAACCAAACTGAGCACAATGTCCATGCTGTACTTTGACGATGAATACAACATCGTGAAGAGGGACGTTCCCAATATGATTGTGGAAGAGTGTGGCTGCGCCTGATTTGGAGGGGTGTGCTTGAGAGGGGAGGGGGCAGGGAGGGGGGTGAGAACATTCCCATACTGAATGGAATCGGAGGGGCGTTTGGCTGTATTTCTTCCTTCTAGGCATGGATGTTTCAAAAAAGAAAAAGAAATCACTGCAGAGGCAACGGCAGCAAAGCAGCAATCACAGCAGCAACCAAGATGTCATTTCACTCTGTTGTCAGGACAGTGGCAGGCTGTGGATCCTGGACACTAAAATACGCTACCACTTATAAACTAATGCTATGAAGTACTTTAAACTCACCTGCACACCTGCGGACACAAGCACACGTACACAGCCACACGCACACGCAAGTTGCATGATTTGGCGTGGAGGAGGGAAGCGAGGGACAGCAAGGAAGTAAGTGTCTGCCAGTGATAGACACGAATGGGCCAGTAGCCATTTCTTCAGCCAGACAGCCAGCCCACAAGCCAGGTGTATCGAATGAAACCATTGTTAAGCACAAGAAAAGAGAACAGTCTAATATATTCTCATGCACAGGTATTTAAGTGACCAAACATACAAACGACCACCATCACCTCTAAGGTCTGAAAAGGAAGCAGCAGGCTACCTGCTTAAGGCAAGATTCGCCCTTCCTCTTGGTGTTAATGCGTGTATATATATATATTTTTAAAAAATCACAAATAGCCTATAGCACTTCCAGGGTAGAATATTGATGACACAAGAGTGAGACCGCGCGCGCGCGAGAGAGAGACAGAAGCAAGTACCATGAACATAACATAAAAAGAGTAGCTGCGTTCTTCCAAATGGCACGTTGGCTTGATTTCACGCTTTAACGGACCACCAGATTCGCCCATACCCTGCCCACTTAGACGGCTATGCTAGTTACGTCGCCTACAAAGGGCTGGGCCATCCTTGCCCTGGGTTTACTCACTGCGTATGTTACTGTTTGTGTTCCCAGAACTTCGGCAACACCACACGTTGCAGTTTGTGCTCCGTGGCAGGGGATTCGGCGGGGGCCGCTTGCAGAACGGATTGTGCAGGGGGTGGCAAAGGCAGACAGGGAGAAGGGGAATTGGAGATAGCACAAGAACATGGATGAGCCCTAAGGAGAAGTTACAGTCACACGGTAGATACATTTCTGAGGCGGTGGTAATGAGGGAGAATTCATCACATTTTGCAACTGGTAAGGAACATTTCATAGATCTAGAGGAGAGAAAATGAGAGTGGGGAAGAGGATTCTGTTGGGTTCCCCCCCACCCCACAGTTCCCTTTCCAGGACCTGTCAAAGATGGCTGCAGAGCTCAGAAATCCATGCTATAGCACAGCACTCACACAACTGCTTGAATGCATGTTTTAAAGCACTTGCAGATTTCAATGCCTTGAACGGTTGGTACTTGCTGATGCACTGCTCTTTGCTCACTATCTCTAGTTAAAAACAAGTGCCGCATGAGCTATGCAATTTAAAGTGTCGGCCCATACTCGATGAAACTGGACTGAAATGAGATGGTACTTTTTATATTTTTTTTATACTTGAAATTAAATCTTTTGCTTCTTTTTTAAAAAGCGAATGATTGCTTTTCATGTTTGCACTGATGTAGTTGCATGACTTAGTCAAAAGAAACTGCCATTTGAAAAAAAGGTTATTTTTATAGCTGCAAAAATAATAATGAATACAGTGAAATGTATTATACATAAAATTTTGGAACCAAAGAGGCCAAGATATTAATTGCAATTTTTATCAGATGGCAAGGCCATCCTATATCTATATGCCATAAAAGGATACTGAACACTCCTGTGAGGCCTACCAATTCTTTTTCAGGGTACAAAATGGATTCCATTGTGTTTGGGTCAGTGTCTTTTCTATTCCATCATACATAGCTGACATTATAATATGTACATCCTTTAAAAAAATGAAAGAAAGAAACCCAATTGTTGTTTATTTAATAAAGTCCCTTGTAGGTTCTGTTCCATAATAATTTAAATACCAAACAACTTTCACTTAGATTTGCTGTCGGGAGTATTTTACATTTGTGTACAGTTTAAGTAAATAAAACAAAATGGAAAAAACCGAACTGCAGCAGCTTCTTGCAGTTACACTGTCCTGGTGGAGAACCCTTGGTTGTGAAGTATCCATAGTCTGGAGGATCAAGGCCTTCTTACTGAACATGCTTCTGCATTGCTGAATGGGACCATCAATGCATAACTGTTTGTGGGATGAGGGCCAGGGAGCTCACAGTACAGGCGCAAGTCTCATTAAATTGCACAGGTCGCAAACAATTTGGGGGAACACAACCCAGGGCCTTGCATATACCCAGATTAATGGAGAAGCACCTTGATTTTGCTGCTCCCCTTCACCCCTTCAGAATAGTTCTGGGACCATTCCCTTACAGCAAACAAAGACAGCTTTTGCTGGCAGTAATGGGTGGGAAGCTTTGGCTTGTATTTTTTCCAACTTTTTGCATCCAGGGAATGCTTTCTGCATGGATTTGACTGTCGTGGATCTGCTGGCCACCTGTGCCACCAAAAAAAGGATCAAAAGAGGACAGCCGTTTGCAGGACATTTCTGTGTACAGGTTTTGCACAATAGATGCAACTTTAGAAACAGTTGCTAAAATTTAAATAGAAATACAATACATCTCAGCACAACAAGGAAGAATGTGACCAGGTGCCTTGTGAGCTTGTCCAGGTGCTGTTGAAGGGCATGTCCAAGGCCCAGCTCTCCCTTCTTACCTTTAGACCAAACTTGGATGAGGAGGGACTTCACACAGAGGACTGTTCTCTGTAAGTAGGGCACATGGCACACCAGCTGTGGAACCCGGGACTGCCTGCCACACAATCTCTGCAGAGCCATTTTAGGACATGCACTGAGTACATGCATCTCGCTCCCACTTGCCTTTGCTCTGCGGCACAGCCAGGACTCCGCTGCCATCTCATCATGCAAGGCAAGGCTGCAGGCAGATGTGCCATCTTCCAGGATGCGTGTGCCCCGTCCCTGGTATTCTCACCAAAGTAACCCCGAGAGATTTCTAGGTATAGCCGGGGTTCCCCTGAACAACAGTTGGAAAATCAGAAGGCGGTACAGTTTCTGGCCTTGAGGCCACAGCTGGGCTTTGGTCAAATGTGAAATGGTCATGGAGAAATAGCGGAAAGGTACAGTGCCACTGGCTAGAGCAGCTCTAGCAAGGGAGTAATGTAGTCTTCCCAAGCTGCTGTCTTCCATATGTGCAGGTCTGTGGTTCCCAGTGTCTCCAGTCATCATGGCCAAAGGCTGTGCTGAGTTGGGGTGGCCAGTTGTGCTGCTTAGTGGCAGCAGGAATGGCAGTCCAGCACACCTGAAGAACACCAGCTTGGAAAAGAGCACCCCAGTGCAATGCAGGGCATCAACTGCCTTTCCCTGATTCCTGTGAACGCTGAGCAAAATATTGCCTCTCTTTCTACCAGCAGAGCTTCAGCTAGCAGGAACACTTTGATTTCCTTTGGCTCTTGTGAATACTCATGAGCTTTGTCATTTATAATTTAGGAAGGGCCTAATCCTGCAGTCGCTTCTGGTCTTGTATCATACCAACTGCATTGCACAATATGCTGATATTCTCTTTGCTGTCCCAGAGTCTTTACATGTTAGGAAGTAGCAATGGGGAACAAAATCTCTTCTGGTTCAGTGCTGGTGAAAGGGGCTGATCGCTTTCCTCTAGTGGTGTTTTCCCACTAAAAGCCCCTTCCCCACCAATGGCTAAAGCTGCTCCTTGGTCCCGCTGGTCTGTACTTGCATGTTTCCCCTAATGAAGCAAAGAGCAGCTCTGGGATGAGGGAAAATGATTCTGGGGTGGGAAGGGGAGAAATAGCTCCCTCTTCCCCAACTCCATAGTTTGAATGTGAATTCTTCCCCACCCCTTGAGTGCTTCTTCCTACACTTTAAAGAGACTGGAGATCCAGTTGTCCTTTCTCAGTAGTTCTCTGCCAGCACCTTCCAGATGGTTTGGACTACAACTCCCGTCACTTCTGACTGCAGTATGTGCTGGCTGGAGCCAGTGGGAATTGTAGTCCAAAGCCTCTGGAGGGCACCAGGTTGGGGAAGACTTTCCTATCTACTTGGAGTCTTACTGCAGCGGCATTACAGGGTTTGCAGCGTTTTAAGGCTGTAGTCTTCATTGATCATTACTTGATGAAGGTCTGTGCCAGGAGGGGGCACAGCTCAGTGCTAAGAGTACCTGTCGGGCATGGAGGACCATGCTCGATTCCTGGCTTCTTCAAACAAGGCTAGGAAAGGATCCTGCCAGAAATCCTGGAGACCCATGATTCCTCAGTGTTGACCATATGGAGCTGGGTGGACCCAGGGCCTGACTGCTTTCTCTCTCCCTAATTTCTGATATACCACACCACACCACCATAGGATCCATGCCAGCTATGTGTGGACACATCCTCCAAAGTTTCAGAGATGATATTAGGTTCATGCCAGTAAAATTATTGTTATCATTATGTTGCATTTATAGCCCACCTTTCTTCCTCTTGCAAGGAACTCAAGGCAGCTCACAGGGTTCTCCTCCCCTCCAGTCTATCCTCACAACAACAACCTTGTGAGGTAGGTTAGGCCGAGAAGCAGTTACTGGCCCAGAATCACCCAGTGAGCTTCATGGCTGAGTGGAGATTAGAACCCGGATCTCCCAAGTCCCAGTCGAACACTCTCACCACTGTGTCACAGTGGCTCTCCGCGTTGTCCTAGCAGAGATCTTGCAAGCCCCAGGTCTTCCATCCGTAGGCCATGCTGATTTATTCTGTGACAGCCTCAGCTTGATTGAAATATCAAGATATGATGGAAAAAAACAGATTTGTGTCGCAGTATCTGATTGATGGTATCCCAGCAGCAATGACAGCAGCGGTGTGTGACGCAGGTGTGCTCCCGACAGGCTCTGCCCATCTACCTGCTCGTTTCAAGCAGAGGCTCTGGCGAGGCGTGACTAACAGCTGATACTAATGGCATTGTGAGAGAGCATCCCCCCAAAGAGCAATAACAGGGA